AAAACCACACAGTAGGCATATTTTCTGAATATATTCAAAAATCTTAGACATCACTGACTTTATTTACAATGAGCTGTTTTTTATGAATCACCTAGTATAGAAGCTGAACTTTATTATTATTTATTGATAATTTCACAGCTTCTTGCTATTCACAATGCTGAACACAACGAATACATATCCTTTAGATTTTGTTATTGCTTACATATAATACCGAAGCTCTTATTAATAAGCCCAGACCGTTATATTCTTCGATATGATCTTGATGGAAAAGTCATTATCGCAAGATCTAATATAACACCTCACTTCGTTTTTAGGCTTAGCAAAGATCTAAGCTTGGAGAACATCAGCACATTATATTAAACACCATGTATTAACATGTCGTTTAGGTAAAATTTATTTTTCGCAACATTAAATAAGAAGTTTGTAAATAGTTAACTTCTTGGAAATTTTATATGAAAAACAACAATTATCTTACAGAAGGATCTTCAATTTCAATTTAATAAATAAGTTTTACTCTGAGTATTCACTTACAAGAGTTGTAATGGAGTACTCAAGACAGAACCAACGTTGTAAAGTTTTCAAAACTGCACAGTCGGCCAATTTTGATTTTGCAAAGAAAGTTAGTTCAACTAAAAATTCAAAATATTCGTCTACAACGCCTCACGTAGGCTCAGCGGTAAATCTGAAGGTTTATAACCATAACAATCGGGTTTTGGTACCCGCGGTGGGTAAAGCACAGGTGGTACATTGTGTAGCTACGTGCTTAATAACAAATAAAAAGACAATCAACTTGAGCACCAAGCCTAACACCACAACAATCAAATCAGTGGTACGGTGTATAATTCGTGTTCTTATTGATTTTTGTAAACAAGTTTATAAGTGTGACTATAAAAAATAAACAAAGATATAAAATTATCGAGTTGCTAAATCAGTAAGTAACTTTTATTGTTACGTGGTTGTTGTTGTTTTTCGAAATTCGCTTCAGTCTTTTTATTCCAAATGCTTAAAACTTCTACATCTGGGTTAACAAGGAAATTTACGATAATTAGGGATAACGTTATGATTCGATATTTGAAGATAAAGCTTTGAAAAATGTGAAACAAAAAATATTCTTCCTTACAAAATTAAAACACCTTTTACATCATAAGCTATTATATAATTTAGAAAACACAATATGTGATGAACTGCACATTGGTAGTAACGTAGGCTCTGCTTCCAAACTTTGTACTTAAAACTACTCGAAAACTTTTATTTGAGTTTCTTGAATTTTTTATTAAAATGTAAATTTTAATCAATGAAATACAAATGCAAAAAATGTTTAGCACTGACAAACACTCTCAGTTCGTAATTTAAAAAATGAAGAGTTCAGAAGTTTTCAGTATCTGGACGAATAAATCTGTATGTTAATTTACAAGTAATTGTTTGAAAAGTTCCCAACCGATCGTGAGTGAGTTAAAATAAAAGTTAGTTTGACCTTAATTCTAACCAAAACTTAGGAAACACATAGACTCCAGTAGCACATAATGGCTAGGCTTATTTCAAATTATATTGGCATTTGTTAACGCAATATAATAAATATATATATATATATATGTGTGTGTGTGTAGTTGATAAGAATTAAAGAAATTAGTTTACGTCATGTGTATTTATTTCGCTACAAGTAGAATCTATCTGTATCATCGTACTATTACTTTATGAAAATTTAAAAAAATCACATAATACTAACAGATGCCCGTTGAAACACTTCAACGGTAATTTTCCAAAAAATAGTAATGAATACATATAAAATGTGCTGCCAACCCAATCCTTTCGATCAGTATATGGAATATTATTCTTCAGTGGGCCATTTACAACCGTATTTTGTCATTCCATGTGTTATTTTAATAAGTAAAATTACATTGCATTTTTAAGCAAAGGAGACTGACTGCAATGAATTGTTAGCCAAAAAAAATTTTGGTTTGGATGTAATGGGTGCATCCAGCATAAAAGAGCGCTCAGGCTGCTAAGTAGCCAAGGGGATTTTTCCGTTGGATGCCACCGTTCCTTGTCATTTTACTGAGCACAAGAAAATACAGCTATAGAAGTTAGCGCTTTTTTTGACAGTTGTAATTTCTACAAGAAGTGACAAATGGGAGATATGCAATTTAATTCAATTTATTCCATATGGTAAAATAAAATCATGCATGTATATAATACTGACATGAATATATATATATATATAAACTAAACAACAAAAATATATACTCAAACACGTTCCTCTCCTTGTGCGTTATTTCCGTTCACGCTCCTATCTTCAAAATATTTCTTTCAATCAGTCGACGGAGGAAGTCCCGTTTTTTCATGAAATTCCCTACACAGAAAGAACGACCCCCCAACGGCACAGACGGTATGTCTGCGGACTTACAACGCTAGAAACC